AGCTGCCAATTTCTTCTCCTGTATATGTTACAAAAGACTAAGATACTAAGAACCAGTTATATTTGTAAGATTGGTGCATAATACAAGTTTCCCTATATATGTATAAGTCAAGTAGCATGGATACAGAACTAAAGCGCTATGTAGTAAACTTACTCTAGGAAAAGAACAGAGTTGAAAAGCTAAACCTGCAAAGCCCCACAGAAAAAGGATATAATATATGACATACGGGTTGGGGAGTTCGTCCCAATTAAAGAGATGAAGATCAACCACCCAAAGAAATACTTGTATATAATTTACTACATTTTCATTTTGATATATGGATTGAAACACTAAGAGGATAAATGGGATTATATTGACAGAATCCATATTTACAAAAATAAAAATAAAAATGACAGCAAAAAACTATTTAGTTCAATAAACACAGAGATGGAGTGTGAAAGATGGAAAATAAGATAGAGCAAAAATGAGAGAGAGATGTGTGGGCCGTCAGAGAGAAAGAAGACATGAGCAGAGAGAATAAAGGAGAGAGGAAATGAGGTCATAATTAAAAGGGTATTTTAGGAATATTGGTGGGTGTAAAAATAGGATTGTGTTTTTTAAAATTTATATGGTGGGTGAGAAGATAAGGTGGGTGGGAAAATAGGACAGGTGGGTGGAAATAGCAGCACTCTAAACAAAACCCTCATTTTTATATTGGTAAAGTCTAGGCACAGACAATGGACACAAAATTAAATTGGCCCCAAGGGGATTATATTATGTTAATCATTTACTTGTGCTGCTTTAATTTAACTGCGGTAATTAATACATATGAAACCAAAAAGGACCCCCAAAATGTCATAAAATAATTAGCAGACTTTACAGATACTGTCAATCATTGCATTTGCATATGCCGCAGTAACTGGTAGCTTTTTAAAAGGTCAAAAAACTCATCGCAAAAGGAGCCAATTTTAAACGTGCAATCAATCCATGTAATATTAATACATAGGAAAAGTTGCTTCGAGCCACCCTTCAAAACTTGTAGGGGAAAACTTCAAACACGCCAAACCAAGCTTGCAAGGAAAAAAACAGACGAGGATATATAACACGGCTTTGCCTTTTGACAATACCTAAGAGAAACGTAGGAACGTCTTCTGGCTCCTCCTCGAAATACGACACTGAAAAAAGGGGACAACATAATATACCCTTGGACCGATTTGCCGCGTAACTTTGTTGCTGATGAATGTTGATCAACACCATATGATGAATCAATTTCTGATGACTCCTTCTCTTTTGGCATGTTGCGAAAACGTGAAAAACGAAAGTAGAAAATTCACAGCAGCTCCATCTTTGCCATTCGTTTTCCGATGTCAAAGTCTCGCATTTTAGGCAATTATTTGCCTTTGAAATTGTTCCTTTGAGCTCTCTTTGGTTCACATCAATGACAACGAAACCACACTCAGCATTACATCACATCATATAACATGTTCTGTCTATGCATATGGTAGCCCCAAGGATTAATAAGATATGATAAGTTTTAGAGAAAAGAGTCACTTTTGTCTCTATAATTTGTCGGATTTTTCTCTTAGATCTATTTGATGCATCCTTAAATTACGATGAATACCAAACTACATGGGTGAAATCACTATAATTCCTCGACAAAGATGATATAACATCTGTTGGCAATTATGAACCAAGAAGACAATCTCATAGACTAGTAGTATCGGATAACCATGCAATAAACAATATTAGGAATATATATATATATATATATAATATGAAATATAATTGTAGCAGGGGTGGAAGAGCATCACGTGAAGCCCCAATAATATTCTTCAATTTATATATCAATAATTTTGTTTGGGACAGATTCAAATTCAATTTATAATTTTGTGATGCGTGAGGGGCATTGCTGGCTCATGAGGATATTCCCAGCCCCCACTACTCTGAACCTCAATAATTCAGATCGATGATGACATATCAGAAAAAATATGGATTAGTTGTGATCGAGCATTAGGCAATACGGATGATGGATGATGCATCCTTGAATTCAAATGGATCTTCTTTCTTTGAGAGTTGATGCAAGAAAGAAACTGCCACATGATCATATGCTTCTCTTTTCTTCTAATATCAACAACCAGTAGGGCCTATAGATGGGGCCACCTGATCATATGCTTCTCTTTCCCAGTTGTTTCCTTGCTCAGGCAAATGAATTTTTAGGGCAAAAGAGTTGATCGCTGAGATTCTATTTAGAATGTACCCATAATTTAACAGAGCAACTCCAATTAATGTGTTATGTGTGGCTTCTCAATTGACAAGACACGAGACTAAAAGAGCAAGTTATTGCCTTTAACCATTTCCATTTGTATTAAGGAAAAGCTAGTTGGCTATTAACCAAGGGTAATGTTATTGGTAGTTTCTTAATGCATTCACAACAATCAACTGCAAACGATGAATGATAGAGTGCTAATAACAGTTTCCTTAGTTACTGATTATTAAGTTTTTTTAAAAAAAACTTTATGTGAACACGATAATGTTTGGCACTCTCGCAAAGAAAATGTGGGGTAACAAAATAATAATATAAGAATTTGCGGTGGTTCTCATATCCTTAATTACAGTTTCCTTAATATAATATTTACCATGTGATAATTGTGATTTAAGAATGAAACAACGTAAAAGCAGTGTATAATTGGATATCTTCGGTTGGAACTTGGAAATATATATACTATTCCTTAATTTGACTAGAATCGATCACTTTATGACAAAGTAAGAAAAAGTAGAATTCACTTATATTATATATATATATAGTTTGCTCTGCAAATAAAACATATGGATCATATTCTCCTCACTGTGCAGTGCAGTTGAACGTAAAAGCCACAGTATGGTGTGTTGCACGTTGAGGGCAAGCTTTGAATTATAAACTGGATGAATCAAATATATCTGGGGCCAGGCCAGAATCAGGGAGCCAATAATTAAAGTGCAGTACGAAGCCGTGAGATTGAAGCTATAGCTATAGCCAGCTACCATTCATTCATGCCACAGCCTCACCCAACCAACCCTTGATTTCCTGCTCTGGTGCACTCAATTTTACCCGCTTCACATGGCAACTAACAAATATTTGTCATCCATGGTTCATGGATGGACCCACTGCATACTGCAGTGCAGCCTTTAAGGCTTTCACATCCCAACCTTTTCACATGTAATCAGGTGAAAGGTGATAATGAAATGAAGCTAGGACTTGGCCCTACATTTTGATCCCTCACTGTCGTGTGATCGTTTGAGAAGTGGCACTCATATTTATATGAATTTACCTAAGAGTTTTGTCCATCAAAAAACTCTCAAGCAGTCCTTATTGCATTAGATTAATAAAACCTTAATCCACATTAAATATCTTGGTATTGCACTAATAACACACTTAGACAAGGACTAAAGGACTAGGCTGCAACTAAGCTCCTAATCGACATAAATTCTCAATCCTCATGTGATTATATTTTTACCATGCCAATCCTCATATGATTAGAAGACCACAATAAGTGGTTCAAGACAATACAACGTCTAAGAGCATCCACAATCATGCTCTCTATTTTTAAGTTAAAATTTAACTAAAAACATATAAAAGTTATTTTAGGACCTCCCTGTAAAATTTAAACTCCAATCAAGCATGGTTGGAGTTGTATTTTTCTAATTCCTTCTTAAAATTTGTCTAAAGATATTGTTTAGGGAGCCCATTGCCTTTACATATAGGATAATCCTCTATAAACTAATTATAGTATTTAAAGATTTGTCACGCTCTCTCTCACACACACCCACATCATAAAAGAGAGAAGGCAAAAAGAATATAAGTCATATATCTTTCAACGCAAGGAATATGAAATTAATAAGGGATGCATATTAAGGCCACTTTAAAATACTTTATGCGTATGTCTTCCACGAATTTTGTTAGGATTAAGAAAGCGACAACTTAATGAAGCCAACAACGCATTTGGTTTGAATTTGATATGCTAATGCGATGAGATGAAATTTGTTAAAGATTAAGACTTCTTCTTGCAGCCTTTTTTGTTTGTTGAAAGTAGTCAACAAAACCAAATGAGTTAATTACCAACAAATACTGAAAAACCTCCATTTTTATTTTATTTTATTATTTTTACAAATGCACGACTTTTTTTGCCAAATTTGAACACGAACAAATTAATAAGAAAAAAATAATCAGATTTTATCAAAGTTACAAAGATTAAAATAGAATTAAGACTAAACTCTAAAAATTAGAATTAAACTCATAAGAAATTGTAGGAATGAAAAGTAATTCATAGGGATATTCTTTTTTATTTGTTGGAGGAAATGGTAAAACTTATCTGTAAACCTTAATATTTATTGACTTTTTTGTTTTTTTGGTTACTACACCTTGAAAGTTATCTATTTCTAATTATTCTTCTTTTTGGTTCCTTTACGATACCAAGCAAGAAACGAATAGTTTGATTGAAACTTTCCGTAAAGCCGGGCGGGATACATTCTAGAATTCTCCGCCGTTGGATAGATCACTACGACTCTCTGATTCACGCAACAAATCAGAAATCAAACAAGAAACCCCCCGGAAGCACCGTACGAAATCTGCACCCGATCCGAGCTCAAATAGCTGTTTAAAAAAACAACAAAGAAGAAGTTGTCGCCAAAAAAACACGTGGGTGGTCACAATTGGTTGCCACATCAGACTGCTGAATAGGAGATACAGCGTGGCGTTGCCTGGTAAAATGGAACCACCAGCCGCTTTAAATAGCTTCCAAGGACTCGACGCCAGAGAGAATTACCTGTTCAATTATTTCAGCTTCACATTCAAAAACACACTTTTCGCCTCTCTCTCTCTCTCTCTCTCTCTCAAGGCTTTCTTCAACCGCGGATCCGTTTCGAATCCAAACGAAACGTTGTTGCGATATTTGAGGCCTGCCTTCGAAACGCCAAAGATTCCTCGATTTCAGTAATGCGAGGAGTTGAGATTTTCTCTTAGGGCCTCGCTCGATTTGGGATCGATGCCGGAGATCGAGGTAGTCGGCGGAGCCGGCGACGACTCCGGTGAGTCATCCTTCTCCCCTCCGACCGAAGTGAACTTGTTCGGGAAGTACGAGCTCGGAAGGCTCCTCGGGCGCGGCGCATTCGCGAAGGTGTACCACGCGCGGAACGTAGACACGGGGCAGAGCGTGGCCATCAAGGCCGTGAGCAAGCAGAAGGTGCTCAAGGGCGGGTTTACGGCGCACGTTAAGCGGGAGATCTCTATCATGCGCCGGCTACGCCACCCCCACATCGTTAAGCTGTACGAGGTGTTAGCCACGAAAACTAAGATCTACTTCATTATGGAGTTCGCCAAAGGTGGCGAGCTCTTCGCCAAAATTTCCAAGGGCCGGTTCAGCGAAGACCTCAGCCGCCGGTATTTCCAGCAAATGATCTCTGCCGTTGGATATTGCCACTCCCGCGGCGTATTTCACCGCGACTTGAAGCCTGAGAATTTGCTGCTGGACGAGAACTGGAATTTGAAGGTTTCGGACTTCGGGCTCAGCGCCGTGACGGAGCAGGTCCGACCCGACGGGCTGCTCCACACGCTATGCGGGACCCCCGCGTACGTGGCTCCCGAAATTCTCGCGAAGAAAGGATACGAAGGTGCGAAGGTGGATATCTGGTCATGCGGCATCATATTGTTCGTTTTGAACTCGGGTTATTTGCCGTTCAACGACCAGAATCTGATGGTGATGTATCGGAAGATTTATAAGGGCGATTTTCGGTTCCCAAGATGGACGTCGCCCGATCTGAGAAGACTGATTTCGCGCCTTCTGGACACGAACCCCGAGACGAGGATCACCGTAGATGAGATTCTGAAGGACCCTTGGTTCGGGAAAGGATACGAGGAGATCAAATTTCACTTCGAGGACTTCGAGTTGAAGGACTTGAGAGACGGGGACAACGACACGTCGTTGAACGCTTTCGATTTGATCTCATTCTCGTCCGGGTTTGATATCTCCGGTTTGTTCAGCAAGTCCGAAATCTCGGACTGCGGGGAGCGGTTCATATCGGCGGAGACGCCGGAGACGATAATCGAGAAAGTGGAGGAGATAGCGAAGGCGGAGAACGTGGCGGTTATGGAAAAGAAGAGTTGGGGTGCGAAATTGGCGGGGCAGAATGGTAATTTCGTGGTGATGATTGGGATTTACCGGCTAACGGAAGAGCTGGTGGTGGTTGAGTTGAACTTGAGGCAAAGAGAAAGTGAATGTAGCCAGCGAATATGGAAAGATAAGCTGAGGCCGCAGCTCAGCTGTTTGATATACCGACCGGAAGAGGACGTCGCCGGTAATTAAAAGGACCCAGACGAGAACAAGCTCGGGAATCTGGGGCGTGCGTCTATAATATAATATTTGAGGTACATTACAATTGGATGATACATTGTCGGAGAAAAATAAGGGAACAGTAAAATGCCGGTGTCCGGGTTCTTTTGTAATTTGTTTTTGCCCGGAATTTCAAGTCTCAAAAGAGACATAGGGGAAGTTCGTCATCTTCTTGACCCCCAAAAAAAAAAAAAAAAAAAAAAAAAAAAAAAAAAAAAAAAAAGTCCTACTACATAACTATTCTTATTTAGAAAACAAAATGTTCGTCATATTCTCGTGTACAAATGATTTTCTTTATGTTTTTTGTTTTAAATAAATAAAGTGATTAAAATTTAGGATGCAAAGGTTATATATTCTTGTACTATTCTGTGGCAGACTGACACACTCAGTTCCCAACTCAATCCAATGGTCGGTGGCAGGGAGTATCATCAAAAGGCCAAAAAGATAAGTACAGAAAAAATGTTGTATTAGAGATGAACTTTTACTTTTCTTTTTCTTTTTCTAAAATGGTTAAGTATATTAACTCATATGTCAAAATTATCTGGTTAGTTTAATTTGGAGAAGATACTATATATGGTAGTGGGACAGGCCAGATTATCTTCCTTTTTTGGGCAGATTATATTTTAAGAAGATTCAACGAGATTTTACAAATTTATGGTCTAAGTTCATCTGGAAGAAGAAAAATCAGATACCCGTTGCGTGAAACTCTCCCTTTTTTGTTCACGGATTGAATATCGTCCATCAATCTGTCCCTATTCCCTACCAATATCCACGAGAGTCCCATCGGCAACCCAAAAAGCAATACATGGGCATTCATGTATAACATGTCATCGCATTTAATTAAACATCAATGCGATGTGGGATTGTGTGGATACATGGCATGCAGCTTTACTTTCCAGGTGTGAACCTTTATGTGTGTTTTTTTGGTGACTTTCAAACCCAATGGAGGTGTGGAGTTGCAAGTTGCAACAACATAGGGTAGTGAATAGTGAAGAGGGGTAAATCCAGCATCATGATCTGAGAAACAAATATATACAAAGAGGGTCCACTGCACACCATTATCATTATTTAGGCGACGCAACTTTGTTAATTTTATACTTTTATTATAGCAACTGGTCCACCATGCAATTATGCATTTGCATGATTGAGTATAATTGCCCTTCGAGCATCAGTACTTGCGCATTTGCATGATTGAGTATATTGACTTGGAGTTGTTGATACAATATACTACTTAATACAGATTAAGGTATTCTATTTGTTCATTTTTATGTGTTGACTAAATGTATATCTTGTTTATGTTTTTAGTATTATTAAAAATTAATGAGTTTTAATTTCAAAATATCGAAAAGCAAACAAAATCCCAAATCCACTTGATTAATAAATTCATGATAAGGACAGGTTTGTATTGTCCTCAATCAAAAGCAAGAGAAAAAAACAAAAAACTTTGGCTGGGGTCGGTCAGGTCAAGACTTAATACAAATGTTGACCAAAAAAAAAAGAAAAAAGACTTAATACAAATACAGGACCACCGTATTAATGCGTGGCCATATCATATATATCTATATGAGGAATGCTAACAACTTTCTCTCTAACCTTCTTATTTGGACATTCTCCATTTTTTGCTTGACATGTGTCATTTTCTCTCTAAAATGGAGAATGTCCAAATGAGAAGGTTAGAGAGAAGGTTAGCATATTGTTCTTTGATTTTGTAGGACACAATTGGATGTCGAAACAGTTTCTGATTTGTCTAATTATTTGCAAGGATGATTTATGAATATACACTTAAAAAATAGATAGTTTAGATTGTTGAAAAAAAAATTCATAAAATACCCTAAAGAGTGTCCCTTTTATTTGAGGAATCCCTCAATAAAAGGGAAATATATATATATATATATAATTCCAAAGATATACAATCCCTTACGCAATATGAGATTCCTCTGGTGGACAAGGCCCCTAATTATGCAACACTAAGGTCTAATATATTATCTATAAATTGATGATTTTAAAGTCAATTTTCATTTATAACCATGCTCATTGCCGTAGCTTACAATTGTTAATTAATATATATTAAAACAAACCAAATCCCAATTCCATGATTAATCCCAATTAAAAAAATTAATCCATGATTAACAAATGCTGATAAGTGCAGGTTTGTATTGTTCTAAACAATTAAAAATAAAAATAAAGAATTAATTTTGGCTAGGGGTCAAAAAAAAAAAAAAAAAAAAAAAAACAAAACCATATCCACCACCTCACATCACACTCCAAAACTTACACTTACCCCCCGCCCCCTTCCCTTCAATAATGCCCCAAAACCCAGAATAATCATGTTCTATATTGGCTTAATTAGTTGGCAATTGTTGATATCTTTCCAAGGGGGAAGACCAACACAATGCTCCCACGCTTCGCAAGTTATGTACTCTCTCTCTCTCTCTCTCTCTCTCTCTCTCTCTCTCTCTCTCTCTCTTACGACTCTTTTTTCTCTAATGCTTAAGACATAACGTTGTTGAGCTTCTAAGATAAAAAAGATATGGTGTGGGACAAAAGTTATAGTGCACGCAACATTAGGTAGGGCAAGCTTCAATTTCAGTCATTTTATTATACAATTAAAATAATTGATCAAAACAACAGTTACAAAATTAATCTAAGGAACTATAACAAGTGTAAGCTTCAACATTATACAAAACTCTCAACCACAAATGCAACTCCTTTGTCAAACTGTTAACCTCGAATTCTTAGGGTTAGGCATTGTTTCGGTTTTTTTTAAATTTTAGTTTCGGGTTGGTCCCTACACATGACGTAAGCAGACTGGTGGAGAAACCATTTTGATTAAATCTTGCCATGCTAATATACGAGGTCTTTCTGTGATTAGAGTCTAAAGACTATAAGACCTGCACTTTGCCAGTGTAATTACAGCTAGCTAGCCCTAATCTCTCATCAGATTCAGAGCTTTACCAATGTGGTTTATGGACTTGCAGGCTGAAACCCAATTCATTTGCAATCCAGAAGGACTAGGACCCAAATGTAAAAGGCTTTAAAGTATAAGCCCATGAATGCAAAAGCCTGAGGGTTGGACAAGCCCACAAGGCAAAGAAGAATTTGTCTTGCACTGAATATTCTTTGAATACTTGACCTCAATAAAAGAAGGAAACATTTTCAAAATCAACATAAATAACAATGACGTTGAGCTTGGTCAAAGAAATTAGTCTCTGGACAGACCTTGACCAATTCATTTTCACCATCGGGTTGGGTTGCTTGTTTCAAACCATGGCTAACCTTTTTCATACTGTATTGGCCGGCGGCTTAGGCAGCTTCTAATATCTAAAATCTATATTGGGATTTTTCTTCTTCTAGGTTTGGGTGTGGTGGGTTTTAATTTGATATTCTATTAACGAACAAGTTATAAGTTGAGTTGCACGATTTGATTAACTATACCTTCTCCTTTTGTTTCATTCAGGAGATGCCAACTAAGAAGAAGATAATTAGGCACTAAGACAAGAGTAATCAAAACTTAAAACCAATATATTTCTTGTTAAAAATTAATAAAGTTTGAGATCAAGCCTCCCATATTTGATCAACTATGACTTGTCGCTTACTTGCATTTTTTTCGCTAAACGGTAATAAATTATCCTTAAATTTTGTAATCACGCCTCATAAAGAAGTTACGCGGCGACCAACCCTCTTTTTATAAATATAGAACAACAAATTTATTATTTGCATGAACTTTAAAATAATTATCTTTAAAAAGGAAAATAAATATGCCTTTTAATATGCGTGATTCAATAGAGAATTATGATCATGAAATTGAAAAATTCTTAAGCGAACGATGAGTTTATATTTTAACACACAATATTACCTTAAACTCGCCTAAGATGATCGTTAATATGTGCCCCAAGAGTTTTGCTTTCTCCTTAAAAACCGCCATAATTCCACATTTTAGTCAAAATCTGTCCTCCTTGGTGTGACTAGGGGCCATTCACTGTACTTTGGTTATTCTGCATCCGTCCGTTTGGCAAACATATGTGGATTATGCAATGCAAATTTTTGACTTAAACAAAGGTAGTTAATTTGGCATGTAAAAAGTGCCCCTAATAATATTCCTCTTAATTTTGCGTATTTTAATCTCCGATTAAACCCCTTTTTTATAAATTTGTATTTTTATAATTGCTTTCAAGCCATTTATCTGGAGATAATGATTTGGATTAGGCATATGAATCCTCTTAAGAAATTCATATTCCTATTGACACCTTACAGCCCTCCATTCGCTTACCGCAGACTCAGAGTCCTTTACCAAACCGACCATTCCAAACCCGGTTCACCTCACTCCTTAAAACCCGGCCCAACCGGGCTGTCCAGTGCTTGCTTATATAATTTGTTTTCCTTACATTCTCTCATTTTCTTCTCCATCTCTCTTATCTTTTTCTCCTTCGCCCTTATCGTAGTCTCTTTTTCGCTGTTAGCAACGAAAACGATAAAACGAGCTTCACGGCCGGTGCGACCCGAATCCAAATCTGGACCTTGAAAGCGGCGGCTCCAATTAAGCTTCGAAAATTGGGCCCTCATTCCGATAACTTATCATCGACATGAACTTCGAATCTGTAAGTATCCGAATCGCTCAACCCATTTGATTGACGTGCAGCTCAGAGTCTTTAAAACCCTAAAATTGATTCATTTGTCGAGCTTTTTTGGTGCTCCTGCGGTTGTTCAACCATTAATGGCGGATTGTCTTTTTCCCTGTTTTTGCATTTCTTGAAGGGGTTCGACATTTTAGTGCTGTTAGGGTTCTTGGGACGCTGAGAAAATTGGTTCTTGCTATTCGATTTGAGCGGGATATTAGGGCTACGGTTTCCGATTGGGAGCATTGCTTGGGAAGTTTTCTGTGTGATTCCTAGGGTTTTAATTGTTCGAATTCGAGACGGGGAAGATAGGCGTATGCTAGAGGATAATGTGTATACTTTGTGTGATTCAGAAGTGGTCTCGCCGGGTCGCTACAATGCTTCCTTGGTTAGTTATTCCATTAATAGGACTATGGGCTCTCTCTCAGCTTCTACCACCAGCCTTTCGATTTGAGATAACTTCGCCCAGACTCGCTTGTGTTTTTGTGCTCTTGGTTACTCTCTTCTGGTATGAGATTTTGATGCCTCAGCTTTCGGCTTGGCGGGTGCGGAGGAATGCAAGGCTTAGGGAGAGGAAGAGGTCTGAGGCAATAGAATTGCAAAAGCTGAGGAAAACAGCAACCAGGCGGTGTCGGAACTGCTTGACTCCGTATAGGGATCAGAATCCTGGTGGTGGTCGATTTATGTGTTCGTATTGTGGACATATATCAAAAAGACCGGTTCTTGACTTACCTGTGCTACCGGGGATGGGACTTTCGAATTCCGGGATTATCAAGGAATTAGTTGGAAAAGGTGGAAAAATATTGAATGGTAAGGTGTGGTCTGAAAATGGGTGGATGTGTGGCCAAGATTGGTTGGAGAATGGCAATTGGGTCAGTGGTTCTATTGCAGGGAAGTCTAGCTATTGGAGGAAGGACGGGAGCAGTGTTTTTGGAGGGGATGAGAATTGTTTGGCTGAGAAGTCTTATTCAGGTGTTGTTATTTTTGCGTGCAAGCTACTGACGTCTTTCTTCTTGAGTGTTAGATGGCTTTGGAGAAAGGTTTTTAGGATTAGTACTTCAGGGGAAGATGATGCATCTGATGAGCATAAAGGTATGTTGGCCAAGAGGGGCGAAAATGGGACCAACTTGAATGAGAGTAGAGGAGAAAAAGCTCGCAGAAAAGCTGAAGAGAAGAGACAGGCTAGGATAGAGAAGGAGCTTTTAGAGGAGGAAGAGAGAAAGCAGAGGGAGGAAGTTGCAAGGTTGGTGGAGGAACGTAGGAGACTTAGGGATGAGAAAAATGAAGCAGAAAGGGATCATGGGAAAACATCACCACCTGCTAGGGAGAAAGATAACAAGAAGGAAGCAGAAAAGAAACGGCAGGAAAGAAGGAAAGAGAAAGACAAGGGTTCTAGCAAGAGCAATTCTGATGTAGAAGAGCTGGAAAAGAGAGCAGGTAAGGAAAGTGAACGGAAGCGGGACTTTGACAAGAAGAGTGACATTGATCGCCGGGAACATCTGAAATCCGGGGTAGATTTTCTGAAGGGACAAAGCACAGAGACAGCCCATAGTATAAAAAATGCATCTGCAACCAATTTTGATAGGGGAAATGCTGGATCTAGGTACCTGGACCGTATGAGGGGTACAATTTTTAATTCTTCAAAGGCATTTAGCGGAGGTAGTTTCTTTGGAAAGGGTGCTAATACTACAGTGACAAAAGAAACCAAACCTAGCATTTCTGCAGATCAAGTCCATAGTCATGCCCATAAGAGGGATTTATGTCCACCTGACCGTGTAGCTGCGAGACCTCTTATGAATGGAGATGATAAGAGCATCCACCGCCCTGTAAGTTTCTTGCTTTATACCTCATTTTTATATACCTTTTCATCTCACTGCTTAAATATGTTATTCAGTACCCTACCTAAGTTCTAAGGTAGGGATTATGTAATTATAATTTTCATGGAAAATATAGATAATTATAATCTCATGGAAGTTATAGATAATTATAGTTTTCATTGAAATTATAGATATTGATGATGCACTTGAGTTTGTTGATTATGCCATATATCTAAAAGGTTAGCCTTGACTTTCTGAGCATTTACCAATGTGATCATATGAACTTCAACAGTTCTACAACTTACACGGATTGAGGGTCAATTTCTGTTTCCTTTACTAGGCAATCTTATTCCTACACTTGCGCTGTTGGAACTTTCAAGCCAATAAGCTACAAAGTGAAACATTAGTTTCAAGTTTCATTGCCTCATTAATGATAATGATGCATACTTTAACACTATATAGGTGAAGTAAATAAGTGTTATAATGTGATCCATTGAATGCAGGTTAACTCAGAACCACAGCCAGGGACTGCACCTAAAAAATCATGGCAGCAATTGTTTACTCGGTCATCGTCTGTGCCTTCATCCTCAAGTGCAAATGTAATAAGTAGGCCAAATTCAAAGTTCCAAACAGAAGTTCAAAGTCCTCAATTATCTGGTCAGTCGTCGTCAATGCAATCGTTTGATAATCCAATCAATTTTGGGCTGCCATCTCCATTCACTCTATCTACTACCTATCCAAAAGGATCCTCTACCAGTTTAGGTTTTTCCCCTGCAATTGAACCCATGTTCCCTCGCATTGGAGAAGGGCATCATGAACTTATACCTGAGGAGCCAGAGCTTTTTGAAGACCCATGTTATGTCCCTGATCCAGTATCCTTGCTTGGGCCCGTTTCTGAGTCACTTGATAATTTTCAATTGGACATGGGTGCTGGCTTTGTGAAAGATATGGGATTGGAGAGGCCTCGCACATTGAAGAATGGATCTGCTTCTTCTGAAGTCAACAAGCCATCTCCTATTGAGTCACCGATGTCACGAGAAAAGCATAATAATTCTAATCGCTTCCCAAGTACCCCAAAGGCTCAGGATATGCATGCTTTACCCCTAGATGATGCAAATGCAAATGATAAGGGAACATGGCAAATGTGGAACAGTTGTCCTCTTGGTCAGGAAGGTCTAGGTTTTGCAGGTGGACCATCGAGCTGGCTTCTACCTCCAGAACTGAACAGATCTAACAAGGATGATCTTATGCACCCTTCGTCCCAGAAACCAATGGTGTCACTATTTGCAACAGAAGATCAGGGTATTTCTGGCTCTCACTCTCCGCAGAGTCGGAGCATCTTTCTTGGTAATGGCCAGAATGGTGGAGCGTTTAGCCCTGTTACTGGTTCCAGTGATCATGATCCTTGGTCACAGAAAGCGTTTTTTCCACCCTTGTCAACTGCTGAAAACCATTATCCTCTCAAACCTCCAGACGAAACTACTAAGAATGATCTGATTTTTGGGAGTCCCAGAAGATCTACCACCAACCATCCATTTGAGATGTCTCCAGCAAACTGTTGGTCCAAGTAAGTGCATCATACTCACCCTCTGTATTTGTAACTGCTGGTTTCTAAAAGTTGCTTGTTATGTCATTCATAAAGCTTTTGTAGATTATTTATGGTGGGTTTGTTGTTACCTTGTAAAATGGTGAGGTGTAGAGTTTAGGAATATTTGTTCTTGCCTGAAGCAAAGAATGTCAACTAGAAACAAATAGTGAATCAGGAAGGGCAAATGGAAAAAAAGAACCTACACCCCCTTTTGTTTTGGTCGAAATCACTTCATTAAAACAACAAGAACAGGATGCAAAGCATCAAGCCAAGGCTTGCAAAATATGACAACCTACACCAGGATAGAAGAAACTAAACCAAGTTTAGATACAGATATTCTCATCCCAGCCACAAAAATCATTAAGAGGACGAACTAGGAGGACAAGGCAGCCCATCAGAGAAAAGAACCCGACCAGAGCCTAAACCCCTTAATGCAGCATAATCCAGTATAACACTAGGATGGACGTAGGAGTCCTAATGTGCTAAATAAGGGTTTGGATGTGAACAGTATATAGCTTGATGTTGTAGTTGATAGATGGTTGTTGTGGAAGTAATTTATTGTTTAAATGGCTTGTGTCTTTGTTTTTGGTATTTTCCAAGCTTTTCATAGGATGAATTTGAGTTTTTACCATGTCCTGGGATGAAGGTGGTAAGGGGTTTTCATGGATTCCATAGGCCAAAGCCAAATGATGTAACTCAATTAAAGTTGTCTGGGGTACCCCCGAAATATTCGTTGGCCAGTATAAGCATTTATTCTTTTGAATGGTTGCACTCCTAGTAGATTGGTGCAAGCTTATAACCAAGTCATGGGGTTCTGTGATTGATTTGGATTTCTTTGTGGTGTTTAATGTTAAATAAGATTGATTTTTTGAAAATGGTGTCGAGTGCAACTTGGATGATGGTGATCTAATTCTTGTTTGGCATTTGTATTTGTTGACAGAAAGGAATGGGATGAATGCGTAGCAGGTCAGGGCACAGGGGAAGGTGTTGGAAAGCCATCTGTGTTGAGGCCTCATATCAGGGGACTATATCCCACCCCAGATGTACAGTCGCTTTGGTGATTTAATTGAAAACAGAAAAAATGAGAAAGATTATGAGGGACTTTAAAAAAAAACCAAGAAAAGAACAGACCTCCTGTACTAGTGAGTGGCAAATAGCCTCTTTTGGGTGGAGAGTTTAGAATACTGGACACATTGTATCTTCCTGCTCTTCTTTATAAGGGAGATTGATGTTTACTTACATTAGCGTTGGATAGGATTACCACGTGACATGCATGCGTTTCTGATCAGGTAATGGCTACGTGTCACTATTCCGATTCAACTAGTTTCTTTTGTTTCTTTGGAGAAAGGGTGAAAGGGCAAAAGGGGGTGTTTCTTCTTCTATGGAGAGTTCTAAATTTTGCACAATGGTTGCTTTGCCCTTCCCTACCACATTGTCAAATCGGGAATGGGTGTCTTGTAACATACTAAGGGAACCTGTTTAGAGAAGTAAACAACGCAACTAATTAATCCAGATTAATCTTTTCTCCTCGTGTTTTTTGGTATTTTACTGAGAATGATAAAATGGTGTTAAAAATCTGAAACATGCTGAGGTGGAGGTAAGATGGCCATCGATGATGCAGTTTTTTTGGGTGTCTTTCTGTTGACTACTTGGTCGAAAAGGAAAAAGCATGATGCAGGGCTCTGCTTGGTCTCATATGTTGTGAAGCATATATCAGAACCTCATGTTTCTAGCTCCATCCATTCTACTCCGCTGCCCTGTTAAAGCTACTGCCTATATGGTTGAAACTCTCAACTGTTCGTATGTTATATGCTCTTACATTTTGGCTGAGAGTTGATACCTCTCATGCTTCATAAATTCCCGAAACTCTGGTTCCAATGGCCATCTTAATAGTATTTTACCTGGAATTATCTCTACACGTCTTGATGTTGGTATCAAATTAGAAAGATTATTATCACACAACATCCGAAGAGCAACACAATGAGAACATGATTAAACTAAACACAAAGATGAGGAAGCTGATGTCGATGAGAAGCAAGAGCATTGGCCACTATACGAAAGATATGCCGAATGAAATTACCAATTATGAGAGGCAAAATTGTTTATGCCCGAGGGGGACTATGGGATTGTCATCGATTCAGGCTCTCAATATTCTCTGTTCATTAAGAAAGCTTACCAGACCTTGAGCAACAAACAAGTGCCACAATTTTACCCTTCTCTAGATTGCAATCCAAATGCAAAATCACATTGCAAATTAATTTACAGAAAATGTATACTATCTTTCATGAACTTTTCTTGCATATCTGGATATTTATTGAGGTTTATGGGTTTTTATATACTCGTTGGAAAATTTCACCCAAAAATTTAGAGTTGAGGCTCTTTTGTTTTGAATTTATTCCCCCATTGATCGTAGTTAATTTTCATACGAAAGTAACAATAATGAGAGGCAAATTTAAGCCAAAAATTTCAAAACAATGGCACCCTTGATAGGGCCATATAGGCCCGACCCATAAGCCAAAAAATACTTGACCCTTGAGTAGGGCATGAACTTAGTTTATTTAAGATAGGGCTAGCTCGCCCTCATCAAGTCTTAGGGGTGAAAGTTTATTTAAGATAGGAAGGGCCTGGCTCGACCCATTTTACGAGCCTAGATGTGATGCTTCAGTTTTATTAGGGCACTTCCAGCGGCCAGCCTTGGCCAGGGCAGGAGGGGGCCCAAGCCCCATTTCCACGTTTTAGCGGGCTTCAGCAACCCGGGCAGCTGGTGGCCTCCACAAACCTGGGCAGGCCTGAAGGCCAGAATAGCCTGGGTTGTTGCCTGAGTTTGCTGACGTCAGCAACGAAAAAAAAAGAAAAAAAAAGAAGAAAAATACTAGGGCTTTTAGAATTTTTTTAAATAAATACTTAGTCATATTCTTCACTTCCCACACCAAAATTCTATACAAATTCAGCTCCTCACATGTCATGTGAATAGTGATTGCCCTTGGGTTGCCATGGCAATGGGTGGAAACACCACAAGCCTTTTGCAAGGATTGCTACTATTCACGTGAATAGTAACAGCCATTGCTTGCCCTTGTCATTTATCATGACAAATGGGTGAAAGTGCTCTTAGATAACACAACCAGTTTTAAAGGAGAGAAAACGGGAGCACCCAGTGCTAATTATGTGAGGGAATTTGAGGTAATCGATACCATTAAAACCCAATTGGAGAGCCTCTTCTAAAGGTGGTCTCTTGTGCTGACATCTTGGCCGTTGATGCCAGGGACTCTATTGTTGTAGTAAGCCAACAATTCTTCAATATAATTTAATTATGTCATAATATGTTCTTCTTTTACTTTTGGCCTAACTATAATGAAATTGTTTAATCAGCTAGGTGGACCGACTTACACAGTATGATTGGGCAGAAGAGACTAAAACCACATGATCAAACTCAAACCCAACCGAGGACCTCCCCGACCAAGGAAATGATGGCTCTATCAGGTTTTGTAGTGGAGTTCGTTGTTTGTTTATAATCTTAGATTTCGTCCTTTCTTATTTTGATGTATTTACAGGGATATAATGATTTTTACTACAGATACTTTGTGTTTTCGGATCAGAAGAAGCCTTAAATTAGGAGTCTAGATGTAGGTTTTGTTAGAGTCATATGTAGCTTAATTGGATTTCCAACTTGGCAATCAATATTCAACTTAGCAACCTATATACATTTTAATGGTGGTTAATATAACCAACCAAAGTGAATGAGTTGATGATTGGTGTTAAAATAATAAGCAACTGAACCATGGATATTGCTATTTAAAACCTTTTCTAAAATACTTGAAACAAAAATATAAAAAATTTATAAAATAAATAAGAAAAACATTTCCGACCTGCCGGATTCGAACCAGCGACCTAAGGATGCCTGCCAGGCTTTTACCAACTACAGTCCTCCGCTCTACCAACTGAGCTAAGGTCGGTTCTTGTTAAAATGGCTAGCATTTATATACTTACTCGCTACGAGAGCATTTTTATTGAAGCCCCAAAAAATGGCGGCAGTTGGCCCCTTGAGATTCTTTACGTTGCTTGGCTTACGTTATTCTCTAAACGCGTCAAACGTTGTTGAAACAAATCCGTCCAACACTCGGTAATCCCAAACCCCTATTAATCCGATTTCCCAATCCAGTTTGCATTAGGAGAATACATACTGCTCTTTAAATATCCATTAGCCACAATCACAATCACATCTCTCTCTACCTCACTCTGTCAAGGGCAACTAGTGTTGGTGTGTAAATTCAAGAAAACAAGAACAAAAGCAAGAAAGAAAGAATGTGTCCGCTGAGGTTCATACTCGTCTTCTTGTCTGCCATAGTGGCAGGATTCTTCGTCATGAGGAATCTCACATTCAACACCGACCTCGAAAACTTGTTCCTCTCAGATTCTGCTTCTACTTCTGATCAGTTTCAAGATCAATCTACATCCCCCGCCTTCTCATCCAAGGCTGTATCTGCTGCTGCATCGGGATTCTGGACGTTCATTGACATGGCAAGTGGACGCTACCTTTGGAGGACTTTCGTGTCTTATTCTTCTTCCACAGCTTGATTGGTTTTAGATTTAGTTGTTGTTGCAGCTCTCATCGGTTGTATTTGATTTGCTTGCTGTACTTGCATTCCATTACTTGTGTTAGAAATGTACCAACGATTCAATTTAGTATAAAAAGTTTTTTTGTCTTTACATGAATTTTAATGGAGCTTGAAAGCTTTATACAAATGCGCTTACAATACAAAGAGACATGCTCTGCTTACTTCTGTATATATGAAACAAAAAGAACATGCCACTAAAACAGAAACAAATTTGATGCATCATCGGTGAGAGTTTAAAACCAAAAGTAATAAAAAATAGTAAGAGCAAATATTTTATCTTATAGATGCATAGCATCCACACGGAATCAAGGCAAGTTCAAATTCTTGCATTCATTGTACTTTGTAATCGCCACAATGATCAATGCTTCTCAACAATAAACCAACAAAGTACATATCATCACATACTCCAATTAAATCTACCACCGTTTTTTCCCCTTGTTATGAATCCTGGGGTGAGACCACTTGCACAGGGAGTGCCAGAGAAGGCTGTTGCTCTTGCTGCCCTAGTTGGGGTGGCTCTTGTTGCTCTTGTTGTTCCTCCTGCTGCGGCTGCCCTAGTTGTGGCGGCTCTTCTTGTTGTTGCTGCCCTAGTTGTGGTTGTTCTTGCTGCAGCTGCTCCCCTTGCCAAGTCCAAACAATGTCCTTCAGAGCTGGTCTAATATCCTTTTTCATGACCTTTTGATACTCTAATGTATCTCCACTACACTTCTTCACTTCCACCAAATGAAAAAACGGAGTGATCTCAAAGATTTCAGTTTCAATGCCCAACACCCCCTTCCTGCCTTCCGTGGATCCTTCCATTTTCAACAACCCTCCATCCCTCTTCTTTATTTTCAGTCTCAGACGCTTTGCAATGTCCTCCAGCTTAGAGATGATGGTTGGGGCTGTTTTGTTGGATGTAAACCGCACTTCCTTTTTCTGTTCAGTCTGCTCAAACAACCCTGACAAGTCAAAGCCTGCAGAGTAGGAGATGATATCAAAAGCATTCAAGTTAGACGGCTTTGCTAATTCTTGCTTTGACTCCACAGCAGAATTGCTACCTTCGCTAGGTCCAAAAATTGCATCAACATCCAGATGGGCTGGCTCTTTCACTGGTACTTCAGCAATTACAGGTTTTTGGACCAGGCCCTTCCGGAACCAAGAATTCTGCATAATTTTGGCCATAGATATCCGAGTTTTTGGATTCGGGTCCAAGATCTTTGACAGCAACTTCCGTACCTCCGGAGAAAACCAGTTAGGGAATTTAAAGTCGCCCTTACCAATCTTCCTATACATCTCCATCAGATTTGAATCGTGAAACGGAAGATAGCCAGCCAACAGAACATACAATATCACCCCACATGACCAAATGTCAGCTTTGGTACCATCATAGCCCTTCCTGTTTATTACTTCTGGAGCAACATATGCAGGGGTCCCACAGGTTGTATGAAGCAACCCATCTTGGCGCTTAGATTCACCAAGGGCACTCAATCCAAAATCTGAAACCTTTAGATTTTCATTTTCATCCAAAAGTAGGTTTTCTGGTTTCAGATCTCGATGGCAGACGCCTCGACTATGGCAGTAATCGACAGCACTGATCAGCTGTTGAAAATATTTCCTAGCAACATCCTCCTTTAGCTTTCCTTTGGAAACCTTGTCAAAGAGCTCACCACCTTTAACATACTCCATGACAAAGTAAATCTTGGTTTTGCTGGCCATTACCTCATAAAGCTCCACAACATTGGGATGTCTAATTAGTCGCATGACAGAAATTTCTCGCTTAATCTGATCAATCATCCCAACCTTCAAGACCCTTTCTTTATCAATTATCTTAATTGCCACACTGATGCCAGTTTTAAGGTTCCTTGCATGGTGTACCTTGGCAAAGGTTCCTTGGCCTAATAATCTACCCATTTCATACCGCTGCATCAACACACTCCCTTTATTTTCCATTTAAGGCTACTATTCTTGTACACAGCAGAAGCTACTTCTACCTGATAGCGTAGTATATAATAAAGAAACTATATTCTCAAGAACGTAAAAGTTCAACCATCCTCATAGACATCATGTTTTGATAAGGTGTGGCCCCCTAAATTTCTTGCTGCATTGGGCATTTGAGCATAGAATCTGAATGGACTGTGGGTTTGCTCAGTCTCATCATTGATGAACAAGGGCAGCTCAAACAGAGCTACAACCTCATCAATCAGTAATGGAGAGTTGTCAACTTTGAAGCACATCTTTCAGCATTCCCTGGTTTTCTTCTTTGATAACCCAGAGAAAAATGAAGAAGATGAAGTAGATGAAACTTAGGCGGACGACAAACCAGATAGCAATCAGTTAAAGCTTTCCAACTCCCCAATAAATATATCAGATTTTGACCTGAGAGAATAAAGGAAAGAAATGATCTTTGAGCCTTCACATGCCTAAACTTGGTGCGTGATTCACAATAGACTTTGAAAAAGAATGCATATTATTCGCAATAAATAATAACAATTCTGTCAAACAAGCTTTAACATTTCACAATATTGTCAGTTTATGCATCATTCTATTGGCAAGCTATGAACTTCAGCAAGTATTTCTACATCTTAAAAACAGTGTCAGAAAAAATCGGCCTAGGCGGCCTGGGCGGGTCAATTTTTTTTTTCTTCCTGACTTTAGAAGAGAAACAGGACTTCATAACACGATAAGGAAATTGGAAACCACCTGCCTTCCATTGCTTAAACTTATATCAATTTCCCAGATTCAATTTTCAAGGGAACCAAACAAGAAAATATTGAGAAACAAAAACTGATAATAAACAAAATTTCATAGTTTTATAGGAGCAATAAGAACCAGCTAGAATTGAAGAAAAGATTTGAACTTTACCTTGAAATTGGAGTAGAAATTCTCTCACAGTTGATGCAGAAGAGAATTGGAACACAGTGACGCGAGAGGTTGGAATGTTTATGGTTTGGTTGAGTTGAGCTTTAAAAGGAAAAGCCGAAACCCTATGGCCCTCCCTCTAGTGCGCTGTGTACCTCTCCTTTCTGCGCAGCCTAACGCGTCAGCGCCAACCAATAATTACTTCTCCTTTGTCTTCTTCAACCCTACCGTCCTGAGATGAGATTACAGGAAAGCCACTCACTTGTTCACATATACAAGACAAAGGTGTCACCTTTTTTATATTAATTAAAAAAATAAATAATCAGATTTATATTATTAAATCCCAATAAATATATAAGATTTACATGATTAAATCCCAAAAAAGCCATGGTATTAAAGATTTAATACATTGAACCAATGAAGGTTTGTTGAGTTGGTAAGGTCCTTGCATTGTGTATAGTTCAATTAGTGTTTGAGTCTCGTTGTCAGCAGTTCTCATTAGTGTACGATCTGTAATTTCCTACACAAATTTATACGGATGCCAATTGGCAGTTGGGTGCCACGCACAAGTCTTTTCGACTTGAGGTGGTGGGTATATCCTAACGTTGATGATGAGAGTAGCCAATCTCCCCCTAAATTTTTTTTCAATAAAAAAAAAAGCATTAATACATTGAATTACTGAAAAATCATAACTTTGTTTGCTTAAGCAAATCCCAGGACCCATGTTTTCAACTTTTGTATGTGCCACTACCTTATATTAAACTCTTTTTAATTGGATGCTAGCTAACTCTTAATCATTGATTTGCAAGTGGCATCAATTTTAATAGTCAAATTAATCATAATTCAATTCACCTATACATACTAATAACACTCATAATTTGCTCACCTAATAAAGCTCAAAAACTAAGTTTTATTTTATGTGGAAAAACAAAAAGATTGGAAGAAAATTCAAACTTGGGTCGGGTGCATGTTTAATTGGGTAGGTGGGGCCCTGTGAAGCTTCATGACTCAGCATCTTCCAGTGTCACAGTGTCAAACAGCAACCAATCAGGAGGCGACAACATGAAAGTAGAATTTTTTTTTATTCTTAAAAATTTGGTATTTAGTGGCACTCCGGCTTTCACCTTCCTCAGGTCACTGGCAGTCCACCCATTTAAGGCATCAACTGGATTTGATACCCACCATACACGTTTCGCTCAACAATTGTCGGTCAAAACACAAGCCCACGTGTCCCCTCTCTGGGGAGCCCACGTAATTTGGTTTGGGCCCACCGTCCTCTTGGAGTGTTCCATACAATTGAATGACATAAGTACCCTTCTAATTAGCTGAAGCCAATCTTATAGGGGACGGTGTTTTGGTCATTGTATCATATGCTCTTTTCGGATCGAGGATTGTATCACTTTTTCTAAATGGATCCTTGGGAGACTTCTGGGGTCGGATGTCTCATAAAATGATGATTTAATTTGATAAATTATATGAAGGAGAAGCCACCTAATCTCTGTTTTGACATAACATAAACCCACTTTCAATTTTATACATGATTGAAGAACAAAAAGTATTCATGCAATCAATTAATAATCATGTAAAAAACAAAATGAAAGCGGAAATGTTTTGGAAACAGAAAAAAATTAAAGGAAAAAAACAAAAAGGGGATTGATATCAAAGTCTAATATGAGGCCATAGCCACAGCCAAACTATGAAAAAAAAGAGTTAGGATAATGATCTTTCGTAACCACTTGAAAAACATGTGGATAATGGCCAGGGAAGCTTCATGAAACCAACAAAATTCCTACCAATTTTTCTCTTTAATTTCTCTAGCAGCGGAAGAAAGAGCAAAGCATGTACTCGGATTCGTTCGAACCTTCTAGTCTCTCTCACGCTTACTTGGACTTAGGGTCAGTTTGGGATTGGTGTTACTATTTAAAAAAGTTGCTTGATGTGTTTTGAAAATAATGAGCTATAAAGTAAAGTAGTTCCATATTTGATAAACAATATATTTAAAGTGTTGTTAGTATAAAAAGCAGTGTCAAAACCGTTTGGTAAATTTTAAAATAAAACTATTGTAACTATGAATAATGACTAAAATGGACATGATATTGGTAAATTTCAATATAAAACTATTGTAATTGTTGATAATGATTAAAACGGGCATGATGTTGAAATTGTTATGTGCTCGCTATGTGGAGGTGGCGATGGTAGTGGCGGAGGTGGTGGTAATAGTGGTACAGGTGGAGGGTAATTGAAAAAATTCATTAAAGGCTATTCTTTGCTTCTTGTTAAAGCAGCTTTCAAAAACAACTTAGATGCTGCTTTAAAAGCTTATGTGAAGAGGCCATTGCTTTTAAAATAATCAGTATATTTGATTTTTATCAAACACCTTAAACTGCTTAACTTTAAAGTGAAACCAATTTTTGGGCAAAAAAAGCAATCCCAAACGGGACCTTAGAGGTGTCAAACGAAAGGGGTTAGCTCGAGCACGACACAAATTTGGCATGATTAAGTAAGGTTTGGCATGACCCGATATATATCTTTAGATGGCCTGGGCAGAGATAATTCGGCCTAATGGGCTGGCCTTAGCCCAAGGTCCGTCATAGGCCATGCATGCTCGAAGCCCAACATGCCCAATGGGCCCATTTAAAGCCATTTATTAAATTATGTTTTTTTTATTAAAAAAATACATCCTATTATTATTATATTTATATTTTTAAAATTAATTATATATATTTTTCTCTAATAATATATTTTGAATTATTTTAAAATTCAATAATTTCTTTATAAATAAAATAATGATTTTGTTTTTCAAGTTTCAAATTTTTAAACACGAACAATAGTTTAACATGTTTTTATTTGAATTTAATTTAACAAAAGTCATTGGCTTCTTTTTTCCAACAAATAATAAATCTTCATAGTATATATATAATTCTTAAAAGATTAAAATGAAATTTTAAAAAATTACAAAATATGCAATACATAATTTGGGCTTGGCGTGTGCTTATATCGGCCAATTTAGTGGCTTGGAACAAGCTTGGTCTAGTCCTATATGGGATAGTGTTGTGAACTCGGGGTAGACATAGTGTTTTCCAAAATTGGATAGGTTCAGATAGACTCTAAACGGGTCGATAGGTCGGTCATGCTCGACACGGCCTGTTTGACTACACCTCTGTTAAAGTTTATGAGTCTCTCTCCCCCTCCTTTTTTTTTTTTTTTTTTTTTTTTTTTTTTTTTTTTCTTCCGACAAAACTAACATGGCACAACCCAAATCCTGGAAACGCGTTACACCACCAAACCATTAAAGCACATATCAAAGCTGCAAATTTAGAGTAGGTTTTTATTTAAAGTCACCTTTCCATGACGCATTATTATACGACAAAAGTGGTTTGAAAACAAGAGTCAATGAATCGTGTTAAAATAAACTTTAGCCTAAAGATGCATATGATTGTAAATCATTAAACATTGCTTTCGATGTTGTCATTAATTACTAAACATTATAAAATCAAGTTCAATGTGAACACCCGTATTTTTAAAAGTGAAGTAATCTTATTACATATGCAACACCTCTTGCATGCAAATGTTTATTGGTAAAAATCTAAAAGACTGGAGGAATGGATTTTAGGTAGGAGTTAAATGTTTATTATATCTTTTAAATTACATGTGACAGTTTTTCTTTACTTGGTATTTGATGTGCAAGTCATTTGGGCTGAGTTTTATTGTTTGTAATTAATTATTCTACTTTGCTTTACAAATGTCATTATTTATGATGACTAATCTTTGTTTAAGCATGAGCTGATGAAACTTGCAGCAAAATCTTATATGTTAAGCCGCATCCCTTCACCAATTAAAATCAACTAGCACCTTTTTGCTACTACAAGTAGGAACCATTTCCTTTGATTGTTTTTACGACATGCATGGTAGTGCATGGCAGAACAACGTGATAGAGAGAATAAAGAAGAGGAAAAATATTAGAAAGTGTTGGTAGAACGAGAAAGACTTTGGAGGAATTCAAGGTGTTGGATTGTAGAGTTATCTTAAATTGCAAAAGCGTTGGAATTAAAGTAGGGGTTTCTTGGGGGCATTTTATAGAGATTGATTTAATTAAATTTCATGAGCATTATATTATGCATGGTGTTACAGTTTGGTTGACGTTCATTGTATTGGGTGTTTATGTATTCTTAACCATTTGAACAATGTTGGCATAATTATATATATATATATATATATATTGGTGATGTTTTAAATGGTTACATTGTTGTGAAGGATATGTGAAAGGCATGATTATATCATGTCATGGAAATTGGCTGGAATTGTTGGGTTGAGGAAATAATGATGGAAAAAGAGGGTAATGGAAATGATCTTTTGTGTAGTTGAGTCTAACTCT